AGCTATACTTCGTAGACTCTGTCCTACACAAATGAGTAGAAATGTTAGACTTCACATTCAAATTTTCTTTGATCTTAATATTTTTGGTCACAGAAAGAGTTTTTCAGGGGTAAAGTACACTACCAAATCAATGGAATGGTATAAAAAGTCCATAAATAGATCCCAAATACATACCAGATTTTGGTTCACAAAAAAAGGTCTCATTTAAAAACAGTGGGACAAAGTCATTTGGTAAGTGATGTGAGATAACTGGTACTATCAAAAAAATATATTGTCTCCCTACTTTTGAACACTGTAACAAAATAAACTCCAGATGGTTCAAATGTTTAAAAGTAAAACATAAAACAAATGCACTATAAAGAAGGCATGGGAGAACTTTATTTTTAAAATTAATTATCATGCAGTGGGGAGGCCTTTTTAAGAATGACAAAAAAAAACTTCGTGAGTTATTAATGAGAAAAATCCATAAATTCAAATTCAAAATATTTGCATTAAAATAAACAAATTAAAAAGACAAACAGCACACATTGTGGAAGGGGGGAGTATATTTCCAACTCAGGTCATAAACAGTTAATTTCCATAAAGAATAATTAGCAATGTTTATTAAAATTTAAAAATCCATTTCTCACCCTTCGACATAACATTTCTACATCTATCAATCTAGTCTCATAGAAATGCCTTGATAGGATAGTGCTGTTTATTATAGTAGATGATTGGAAAGCACCAAAATGACCTTTGGGAGTGACTGGTGAAAAAATTTATGATAATTGATAAAATGGAACTCCCTGCTACCATCAAACAGAATAAAGAATCTCTATACGAATAATATAGGGCCACATATACATTATATTTACATTTTGATGTAAAAATCGAGTTTATTTTCAAGTAAAATAGACACATGATATTGAAATTATTATTAATACTATAACTCAAATTACTCAAAAAATGTATACCATGAAAAGTAAGTCTCCCTTCTACCCCATGGTCTAACTATCCAGATATCCTCCTCAGAAATATCCACTGTTAAATGTTACTTATGAGTTGTTCTAGAGATAATCTATGCATATACAGGTATATATGTATATATGGCTAAGAAAATAGTGCTAACTTATTTCTATATGTTGTTATTGGACGTTGTACACAATCTTTTAATAGAGTCATTTTGTGGTCATTTATAGGCAAATGAATTTCCTTACCTTTCAAATGATTTAGTTATTAAAGACTGTCAAAATTAAAGACTTATTTTGAGAAATAAAGGTAGTGACAACTGAGTAATAGCAGAGAAGATTTACACTTGAATATTTTACATTAAAACGAATATCATTCTAGAAAGCAAGATACCAGGCCATAAAACCAGCCTTGCCGTATAAAAGTAAGGACATTCCTTCATGACAAATTGAAACAAATATGTATGAAACCTAATACAAAGTTTTATTAGATCTTATTTGCTTTATATTTCTCTTGTCATGAAATAATACCTGATTTTAAATTGTGTGAGTTACTATAATTCCAACTGACATAAAATTTATTCTTAATATAGCTGAGTAACACACCCAGAAAGACAAACAATATCACATGACAGAGTAAAACTATTCCTTTTATTATTCTGCATCAGCTACACTTGAAGAAATTATATATACTTTATATTTGTCACATCAGGTTTATTAAACCAATCAGGTAGTATGAAAAAAAATAGCCTAATATTTTAAAAAAATCTACATCTGAATTTAAAGGTATTCCTTTTGTCACTATAAAAATACATTTTAAAATAAAACTATAATCCTACTTTGAAAAATTATAAAATGCAGCCACAGAAATATATTTTGTCACGTACAGTAGATATTTAAATAAATATAAAAATAAAATTTTAGTGGATTAAAATAGCTTCTACACACTAATGAGGACCCATTTATTTATTTTTTTGAATCAAAAAGATAAAATAAAACAGATATTTCCAAGTTATTTTGTGCATCTACCATTTAAAATCGAACTCTATAAAATATATTTTTTTCTTACATGTATACAATGCAGACGAAAATACCATAATTTAACCATTGAGAGGCTTTTAAAAAGACAATGTTTGCATTGCTTTAAGTCAGTAACTCTGTGAAATAAAAATAAAAAAAAAATTGATACATTAAAAATTTTTCAAAATAACACAAAGATTTAGTGCCTCCCCCAAAGAATTTATAAGTAGAATTACCGTTAATATTTTAAGTCTGCAAAAATGCATATTTATGTATAAAATGCATGAGCATCATTTACCATGTACAGAAATAATTTTTTTAAAAGTTTACAATTTTCTAAAATTTAGCAATTCAATTCAAAAATTGAGTAGGGACAAAGAGGTTGATTGGAGGAAGTAAGGTTAACACGATAGAAGACAAAGTAAGATAATCAAAAATATATTGGAGGAGTGAAGTTAGATAATTACATAAATAAATATAAGCTAAGCCAGAATATAAATGCTGCTCTAAGAAAAGTACACCTAAAATACTTGTGGATTCGGAGATAAGCTATTACAACTGGTTGAATGGAACAATAAATGTTTCATAGAAGAGATAACATTAAAAAGACTGAAAATGGGTAAGATTTCAGTGTAAGGCAGATGGAGGAAAAAAGAGACATTCCAAGTGGGAGGGAGGATGAACAAGACACAGTCTATGAAAATCTATGTCTTGTTATAGGAGGAAGAACAGTCAGCTTTGGTTTGCTACTTCTAGCTGCATATAGCAATTTCATAGCTAACCTGTCAGGTTACTCAAGAATTTATGAACACTACTGTAAAGCTTCTATAAATAATAAACATTAAAGTTTCTATGAAGTTCTGTATTTATAATTCGAATTCTCACTTAATTTAAAGAATAGCTCAGTATCCAGAGATCAGGACATTGTATTTTAGTATTTTTACTTGTATTATTACTCTAAATTAGAGAAAACATCAGTTGTAACTGATGTTTTAATATTGTAATGAATCAAAAGCACAAATATATTTTATATAACTAAAGCAAAAATAGAAATTCTAAAGTGATTTTAAAAATCAATAGTTCCACTTTCTGACAAGAGGTTTTAACATTATTTACCATAAACATATAGAATTGGCCCTCAGAAGGCATCACTGTGCTTAAGTGTATAAAAGCAGAAGTTAATTCAAAGTTTCTAAAATGAAATTATCTGTCCAGTCCTATTTTGCATTAGAACCTCTTTTGAATTCAGATAATTAATCAAATTATATAGCAGATAAGTAATGTTCTTTTCACTCTTTTCTCACTAAAGAGTAATCCAAAGAGATTACTTTCACTTTAGGAAAACAGCATTACAATTGGTTTATCATTGATGACGATCTGAATTTAATCCCTAGTAGTGAACGATGAACATATCAATAGCTTACCATATTGCTGAGTGATTTAATGGGATAGTAGGCAGATAAACTTTTCTTTCTCAGATTACTATTTAATTCCTTTATTTTTTTTTTAATTAAACCTATGTTAGCATTATTAACTTACTCTTTTATTACTGTATTCTCCCTGGAATGGAAATTCCTATTTTTCTTATCAGCCAACTTCAGATAAAGCCTTCAGCAACATCTTGGTGCAAGAAATGATAACATAGATGCTCCCCAAAAGTGAAATACTAAGAAAATTCTAAACGTCTTCCCAAAGATTGGTGAAAAGTCTGGGGGATGGAGGAATAAAAAAATAGAGACTGAGTTAAAACATGTACTGCAGTAAGCATAAGAACAAAAGAGAAGAGATGAGAAATACTGGGATTCTTAACCAATATTGACATATTAAAACTAAGCAAAATAATATTTCTACTTACATGTGCACACAGGACACATACAGGACATACAGGGAAAGTGTCAGCTAAAGAAAAAATAAACCGCAGCAGTATTCATTTAACAGTACAATAAACAATAAAACTAATTGTCCTCAATATGATTGCATCATGTGTTCACTGGCAAGAAGCAAGGAAGGGAGAGAAGAGAGAGAGGGAGGAAGAAAGAAATTCCTAAGTAAAAACCAAGCAGAACAAGCATAGTCTGGCGCTGTCATGACTGTCAGTCAAGGTAGGGTCTAAATAACCCATTCAAGTTATTGGATATTTACTATCACGCTCGGGGGTGAGATGGGGGTACAGCTAGTACTTATTTTAGTTTGCACCTTAGATGAAGTACTATATAAAGACAATCTGAATTATAATATAGCAGAATAAAAGGTTTCTGTCCACGTGAGTCCCTCTCTGTATGTTCAGAGACAAAAATGCTAAGACCTAAGGCCTATAGAACTCTTATTTCACCCATACAAAGGACTCCCAAGTTTCATCCCTTCAACTTTTGTGGATAAGGCCTAAACAATCAGGACTATGACCTTGTGATTTTCTCTGTAACCCACACCAGACCTCATTCAGAAAATGAACCCGCACAGACCATTGGTTTGATCAAAAGATTTGCATTGTCAGATAGAGAAAGCACATACATACCTCTTAATAATTTTAGGCTTCTTTAGAAAAACTGCTGTTATAGACAGCACTTGGCCCTTCCTCATCTATACCCCCATCTGATCCACTGCTGGTATTTCTACATGTCCCAAAAGCAGTGCTTCCCACCTCCTGTCGTCTAGGCCTCAATAGGTAGAGGGGTTCGGGAAGTAACAGAGATGATGCACATTGTAAATACCAATGAGAAGAACCAAGATTTGAATTAGTAGAGTTACAATATAGTAGCTGCCATGTACTTTACACATTTAAAAGATACAATGTTGAAAAAATATATTTTAGCACATTAATTTTACTTGTTCATGTATATAGTTTCAACATCTTGACTGCCTAATATTAAGAAGTTTTAACTTTGTATAAACCACTTCTCATAGAGGTTATGGGAGACTATAATTCCCATCAAATGATTTCTGTTACACACCTGCAAGCTATTTGTGCTGCATTCCTAATAATCAGTTCATCCTTTGAACTTGTAATAGTTTGTTCACAGTGGAAATCTTATATCAAAAACAAATTACAAATTTCTATAGTTTTTATTAACTACTGAATACTTGAACATGATTTACATTTTTTTCAGAATGTAATATTTAAAATAAAGTCTCCTGTTAAATTAAACAAACACGAACAACATTAAAATAGATCAGAAAGAAGCCATTCGAATTACGTTGACAACAGCAACACGTCTGGTCCAGTTGTTTCCGAGTCCTGACTGTGGTTAGAGCTGATGCCAGTGTCCGAGTCTGTGTCATTTGTATTCACATTAAATACTCTTTGAGTAAAGGGAGGAATCTCCCCACTGCTGTTGGGGTCCTCAGATTCCTTCCCTCTGTTTTCCTTTAGCTGGCATCCATCTTTGTTGCTCATGTGAAGTGAATTGAATTCCTTGGCCAGGAGTTCATATTCTTTTGCTTTCATCTGAAGCAATGAGTCACTGTATTTAATCTCTTTCTGGATGCCACTCAAGTGAGAGTGAATTTTCATACCAGCTTTCATGCTTTTCTCCAAATCACACTTAACACTTTCTAAATTAGAGCTTTCAAGTTCACCGGCAGCTGCCCCTTCTGCATCTTCAATTATCTCAGTGCAAACACTTCTTACCTCTTTTTCGATTTCAGCGGAGAGCTTGTCAATGAGCATTCTGTAATATGTTAGTCGTTCCTCCAGCTGTACAATTCCATCACTTTCACTCAGGTCCTCCAGAATCTGGTTTTCATCATACTGCAAGCCTAGCTTTTGCTCAACGTCAATGAAACTGGGCATTAAATATGCATCCTGGACATAATTTTCTCCGTCATTTTCCACCCGATCGAGGTGGAACTTAGCTTCACACTTTTCAATTTCCAGATCCAGCTCTTTCATTCTCTTGACTTGCTGATGAATAGTATGATCCTGGGAAATAATCAGATGAACTAACGTCTCCATACTATCTCGATCATGGGAAACCGTGTCCTGCTTAATTTTAGCCAGTTTCCGGAAAGTTTTTCTGACAATTCTTTTCTGCTTATCTGGTGGTAATGTCTTCATGTAGTCTGCGGGGCTGAGCTCCCACAGCTTTTCTGTGTTTTGCACTAATTTGGCTTCAGCTGTCCGCCACAAGGGAACTGGAAGAAAAGCATCTGCTTTGACCAAAACAAATTGCATATTGGGCTGCTCATCTCCCCATGCTTTCCAAAGCTTCAGGATTCTAGTCAGTGGAGGAAGGACCCGTTCTGAGCCTCTCCACTTTTCTATGATGCAGTAATCATTGGGCTTCCCCAGAAGAAATCGTTTCTCTCCAAATGTGGTCTCATGTTCCTCAAGCAAAGCCTGGATGACGTCAGCAGAGGTGGTGCGTTTAGTTAACCCACAGACAATCTTCTCTTCTTGGCAAACCCAAACCACAATTTCCTTCTCTTCTGAATCCATGTCTTTAGTTGGAGATCTGAAAGAAAAACAAAGTACATGATGTTTCTGTCATCACCTGTGTAAACTCAGAAAGATGGTTTAATTTTAACATCCTTTCTAGATTTTACCCTTAATAAGAGATGCATTTTGAGGTTGAGACTACTTAAGAATCAGAAGTTTTACTGCAAGAAAAAAATTTTAAAACCATGGAAAATATCTTTATTTCTTTTTATTTCCTGGCGGGCTCCAAAAAGAGTAAATTGTCATCAAAGCAACCGAGGCTATTTTAATTTATCTTCAGAAGTCAACCACAATATGACTATAGTGAGAATTGCTAGAATTAAGACAATAATCAAGTGGAGATGAATAAGAGGAGACAGAATAAGACTGTTTTTGCTGGAGCCTTAGGACTAGAGAAGGACCACGGAAGCATAAGTAGAAATGGTAGGATGATCTTGGAGTCATAGAGTTAAAAACAGTCCATTATTGAAAATAGTGATCCTTTCATTCAACAAAAGTTTATTGTATGCCAACCATGTGCCAGATATGTCTGAAGATGCTAAAGGCACAGCAGTAAACAAAGGAGACAAGGACACAGACATAAATGTATAACTAATATAACATCAGATGGTGGTAAATGCTAGAAAGGAAATTAAACCAGATGAAGAAATAGAGAATAACTTGGAAGAAGGAGAGGTCTACTTAGAGTGCTAAGGAGAGACTTTTCTAAGAAGGTGACATTTGAAAAAGGACAAAAATATGAGAAAGAGGCACTCAACGACCTTAGGGAAGAATTCTAGGAAGAGTGAACAGAGTTATGAAGTATGTTCAAGTGACAGAAAGAATGTGACTGTAGTTGCAGGCTGAGGACAGTGGAGTTGTGGGTTTGTGCTGGTGGGACGGAGAGGTTAAATGACAGGCCATCAATGAGGTGATGAGGTCTAGGAGAAAGGCGAAGCCCTGCAGGCCATAATAAGGCATTTGGATTTTGTTCCAGTTTTAATGGGAAGCCATGGGAAAGCTTTAAGCAGAGGAGGAATATGATCTAATTGATGCTTTAAGTATATCTGGCTTTTGTTTATGGAATAGATTGTAAAAAAGGCAAGAGTGAGGGCAGGAAGCCTTTTGGGGAAGCCTATTACAGAGGACTAGGAAAGAGATGAGGACCGCCTGAACTGGAGTTTTTTTTATTTTTTTTTATTTTTTTGTTTATTGCAATAACATTGGTTTATAACATTGTATAAATTTCAGGTGTACATCATTATACTTCTATTTCTGCATAGATTACATCATGTTCACCACCCAAATAC